CTGATAATGTTTATGCATGCGATGGTAGTTTATCAAGTTCTGATTTTGATAGTGATGTTAATGATGTGAGATGGAAAAGAAAGAATGAGCTAAATTCAAGAAAACAATCTGAGAATGAATTTGTTGAGGGCTGTTATAATTTTATGAACTTAAAATATCCCCTCAAAGTTTATTCCAAGAAACATTTGAAAAGACTCTCAAAAGAAGAAATTTTTAAGCCATACCTTAATCAACATCCATTCACTCACAATGATCATGTTTCATCTCCTCCATCAATCAAACAAAAATGAATACTAAAAACTGAATCTGAAAAGGAAAAAGGTCAAACCCTGACTGAGAAAGCTGTTGACCTTGGATCACAGTTTAAAGAAAAATTTAAAAAAATGTTCTTGATAAAAAAATGTTCTTGATTAATAAATAAGGATACCAAAAATGTTCTTGAACATAATTGTTTTGCAGAATGGTCATGTGTGGCACTTAGATTCAGGATGCTCAACTCACATGACCGAAATAAAACACTTGCTGAGCAATTACACGTCGTGCTATGAAGGAAATGTGAAATCTGGGAATAATGTATCGTCTCCTATTCTTGGATATGGAGATGTCATCTGTGCGAGTGTCACCATACGAGCTGTCTCCTACGTGAGAGGATTGAAGCACAATCTGCTGAGCATTGGACAATTTTGTGATAGTGGGATGGAAGTGAAGTTTAAATCAAAACAATGTTGTGTGATAGACAACCATGGTAATTCATTATTAACGTGTACCAGGATGTCAAACCTGTACACTATTGACCTGAAAAGCGTGCAGACAACTTCTTCCATTTGCCTGTTGTCCAAAGCTTCATCTGAACAGAACAGCCTGTGGCACAAATGCCTATCTCACCTGAACTTTAATCATCTGATCTTTCTGTCCAAGAGAAAACTGGTGAAAGGACTACCTCCTCTGAAGACTACCGCTAACAACCATTGTGGTACCAATGGTTGTAAGCTAGGCAAGATGATAAAGAGGACTCACAAGTCAAAGCAAGTTCCATCCTCCTCACGACCGCTGCAACTGATCCACATGGATCTGTGTGGACCAATAAGAGTTCAAAGCATCAATGGACACAAGTATACACTTGTCATTGTGGATGACTTCTCTCGGTACACATGGAAAAAATTTCTAAGGACAAAGGACGAAGCTGCCAATCTGATCATAACCTTTATCAGGACAATCCAGAACTTTCTACAGAAGAGTGTGTAAATAATAAGAACAGACAATGACACTGAGTTCAAGAATCAGCTCCTCACTGATTTTTATGAATCTCAAGGCATTACACAACCATTCTCAGCTGCAAAAACTCCACAACAGAATGAGGCAGTTGAAAGAAAGAACAAGACATTAGTTGAAGTCGCACGCACAATGCTGATCCAATCCAAGCTTCCTCACTTCATGTGAGCGGAAGCAATCAATACTGCGTGCTTCACTCAAAACAGAACATCAATTCACAAGCACTTCAACAAGACTCCTTATGAATTCCTTTTCAACAGAACCCCTGACATCTCTTTCTTCAGAGTTTTCAGCTGCAAGTGCTTTGTTCTGAATGACAGAAGTGAAAGAAGTAAACTTGATCCCAAAGCCAAGGAAGGTGTGTTTATTGGCTATTCAACTCAATCCAAAGCATACAGAATCTATCTAAGGGGTCAGCGGTGTGTCATAAAGAGTATTCATGTTGCGAAATGGCAGACTTTGCTTCTGAGAAGTTCTTGACAGAACCCACTCTATCTAAGAAACAACAATCATCTGATGAAGCTGAAGCAACTGTGCAATCCTCTGGTGAACGTGCGGTTCTAGATTCTCTCTTTGAACACTTCTATGAGAACCCATGCGCCACAACTCAGCAACAAACAATAAATGCTGCAAAACTACCATTCATGCCTGACCTTACTGAAGAAGAAGCTAATACACCTCCTCCATCTGATCATGAGGATGCTAAGGATCATGGCAATGCAGCAACACAAGCAACTTCACCAACACAAGGAGAACCGACACCAACACAAGCTAATCCAGCACCAAACTCAACCCCCGTTCACTCCACTCCTCAACAAACCACATCTACTATCTTTGAGGACCCGGATCACCCTATCATAACTCCAATCCCTCTTACTCATGAGCGGAAATGAACGAAGCACATCCTGTAGCACAAATCATTGGAGATCCGAGTCGTGGAGTCTGCACAAGAAATGCAACTGCAAATGAATGTCTCTACTCCTGCTTCATTAGCCAATCTGAACCATCAAAGGTCAATGACGCGCTGGCAGATCCTGATTGGGTAATCGCAATGCAGGAGGAGATAAATCAGTTTGAGAGAATGAATGTGTGGACCTTGGTGCCTAGACCCCCGAAGAAAATCATCATTGGCACCAAGTGGGTATTTAAGAACAAGAAGGATGAAGATGATGTGATTATAAGGAACAAAACACGCTTGGTTACAAAAGGTTACAAATCAACTTACAATCAACAGGAAAGAATCGACTACGATGAAACCTTTGCACCAGTGGCGAGGATTGAAGCTATCAGATTGTTTCTCGCCTATGCTGCTCACAAAAGCTTCACCGTCTATCCAATGGATGTAAAGACTGCGTTTCTGAATGGAGATTTGAAAGAAGAAATCTATGTCGCACAACCTGAAGGGTTTGTTGATCCTGAACACCCCAATCATGTATATAAGCTGTGAAAAGCCCTGTATGGACTGAAACAGGCACCAAGAACCTGGTACGATACATTATCAGATTTCCTTGTGGAATCAGGCTAATTAAAGGGAAAGCTAGATCCAACTCTCTTCATCAAACGAGACAAAATTGACATCATGCTGATACAAATCTATGTAGACGACATTATCTTGGTTTCTTCTAATCCAATCTTTTGTGAAGAGTTCAGCAATCTGATGCACACTGAGTTCGAAATGAGCATGATGAGAGAGTTGAACTTCTTTCTAGGGCTTCAGATCAAGCAAATGCCAGACGGTATTTCATCAACCAGTCCAAGTACATCCATGAAATGCTCAAGTGATTCAAAATGGACAGCACGTCAACCATGACAACCCCTATGTCTCCCTCACAGAAGCTCGACTCTGACCCTTCATGAAAGTCAGTCGATGCTACCAATTATCGGACTATCATTGGTTCCTTGCAGTACCTGACATCTAGCAGACCGGATATTGTCCTTGCAACCTGCCTGTGCGCCCGCTTTCAAGCAAATCCAAAGGAATCACATCTGAATGCAGTGAAAAGGATAGTGAGATATCTCAAAGGCACAGTCAATCTGGGCCTTTGGTATCCCAAGGACACAGGTTTTGACCTTGTAGGATACTCAGATGCTGACTTCGCAGGTTGCAGGTTAGACAGGAAAAGTACATCCGGAGGTGCTCAATTTCTAGGAAAGAAGCTGGTCTGCTGGTCCTCCAAGAAGCAAAACTGTGTGTCCACTTCTACAGCCGAAGCAGAATATGTTGCGGCTGCTAGTTGTTGCTCACAAATCCTATGGATGAGGACCCAGCTCAATGACTATGGCTTCACTTTCAATCACATCCCGATCTACAGTGACTCCCAGAGCGCAATCGCCATAACCAGCAACCCCGTTCATCACTCACGCACCAAAAACATCGACCTGCGCTATCATTTCATAAAAGACCATGTGGAGAAAGGAGATGTTAATTTGTACTTTGTAAGCTCTGAGCTTCAATTGGCTGACTTATTTACTAAGGCACTGGATGAAAAGAGATTCCAGTTCCTGGTATCTAAGTTAGGCATGTTGAACCTCGAGCCTGTGTAATTGTGTTTGTCTCACTGGTCTGAATAAAAAGCGTGTGTGTGTGGTGTGCGTTGCATGTGTTGAGGAGGAGAAAAAGGGAGAAAACAAGAAAATATATGTGTGTGATTGAGGGGGAGAATTTCAAAAAAAAAGGGGAAGTGAGAAAAAAAAAGTGAGAGTGAAAGAAGTGTGTGAAAAACAGAAAAGAAAGAAAAAGAGTGTGTGCGTGTTTTTTTTTTCTTTTTTTTCTTCTCATGCATCATTCGAGGGGGAGTTCGTATCTGTGAGAAGCATTGTAAATAAATAGAGTTTTAAAAAAAACAAATAGAGAGGGAGGATTTGGGGCCCAAACCGTTTTAATCTGAACTGGGTCCAGCTCATTCAATTGGGCCCATCAAACTTCTGTCAAAGCTCATAATCTTTCTCGCGTATATAAAGAACTTCGAGAACCAGTTTCCGCATAAAACCTTTTCTCGCATTCTCGAAGTCCAGAGCTCTCAACTGTTTCTCGAAATCACTCTTCTCGAACTTCTTTCTCTTGCATTTTCTAACAAAAGGTAGTATTGTGGTTCTCGAAATGGTGTGTTGCATAAAACTCTATGTTTCTCGAATTCATTTTGAGAGCATTTTCTCACATTTGGATTTTGAGAACGGTTTTCTCGAACTATAAACTTGAGTATCGAAAAGCTTTCTTTTTGAAATGTTTTTTCATCATATTGCTCGCTTTCAATATTCATCGGCTAAACAAAACTTTATTAAAATCAATGATTTATTTAAAGCGTCACATTTTTATTATAGTTTGACTTTGACGCCTAAGGGTATTCTTGATTATTTGAGAATTAAGTTGTTGATGTGGCGGATAATTTTGGGGGTTATGATTGAGTGATGAAGATTATTTGGTGAGATTATTTGACAAAATAATTCGGGATTGAAATATGAATCCAGATTATCTCAAGATTATTGTGAAGATAGTATTAATTACTGGATGCAGGACCCACAAAAGATCTAATTAATTTGAGATGATGAATGATATAATTTTGAAGGTATGAGATTATTTTGAAAAAATCTACGTGTCATTAAAAATCCGCTTATTAAAGTAGCAAAAAACATGATTTCTATGCTAATAATACTAATGTACGTAGTATTTATTTTGTTGTTTGCTAAACAAAACTAATAAATTCAAATACGTGGGAATGAACGATTACCACAATGTTTCCTAAATACGGGGAAGACTTTGTTTCTACACCCATCACAAACACAATTGAGTTTGATCTTGAGTGTGTAGGTGAACAACTGCTCCTTCTTGTCACCTTCTTCACCTTTCTTCATTTCTTTCTGTAAATACATATACACAGTGGAATATTCTTTGAACATTAACCATCCTATATTATATCGTAGCTTGAGTTAAGATACACAATTGCAACCTTGCACGACAAAAATTTGTGATGTATATGTGTGTGTGTGCGCGCAGAAATATATTAATAAATCAATGAAATAAAAGTTTACCTTTGGAGGCATATTTGATTTCGATGAGAGCGAGAGACAGAGAGAGCCCAAAAGTCAGGCGATATAGAGAATATTGTGAGTGGAAATGAAATTGTTTAGAGGCCAGGCCGGTGGGAAATGTTGGGTATAATATATAGAGATTAGATTGCAATTAATCCACCAATAAATAAAGTTATCAGTTTTCTTCCGATAATTCCTCGACAAGATTAATTTTTTAAGAGGATTTGCAATTTTAGTCTTATAACTTTCGGCTGTTATCGTTATTGGTCCTGTAACTCTAATCACTTGTAAAGTTGGTCCTGTAATTAATAAATTTTGCAATATAAGGACATTTTTCACCGGGAAGTACACTTTCAGACAGAAAAATCAGACGATGGCGGCATCTTTTCCGGTATACTATAGTCTAAAAGTGTACTTTTCAAGAAAAATGTCTTTAAATCTCAAATAATATAAATTTCCAAGTGACTAAAGCTACAAAACTAATACTCCCTCCGTCCCAAAATTATCTTCATAGTTACTATTCACATGGTCAACTCAAATTACTCTTAATCTTTTACTTTATATATCAAATTTTTATCAAACTTGAATTTTCTTGATCAGGCTTTGTAGCGGTTTTAATGTAGTTTCTGAATATGTAAATTTTATTTACTAAAAATAATCCGAGTGTGAACAGGGATCGAGTTGCTTTATCGTCAGTCAAGCATCGTAAACCGAACTATGAAGATAAATATGGGACGGAGGTAGTAATGAAAATAATGGAAAGTTGCAGGACAAAAATTGTAAATTTCTCTTTTTTTAATCCTCATCTTTAGTGTTTGTGTATTTACGTCGTCTACCACACTCGAAGACAGCAATTAGTGGACGACCCCCGGTATTCGGATTGACTTAGAAATTGTTTCACATTCCTCTCTAATAATTACTCTCTCCATTCTATTGGATTTCACAATTATACCAAAAAAACATTATTACTTTCCTATTAAAACAATTAATTTGTGGTTATGTTCAATTCTCTCTCCTCTATATAAACGTCAATCACACGGTTTTTTCTTTTTCTATTGCTCACATACTTTGAATTTGGCAAAGTTCACTGGGATGGAGGTAATACAATATTAGTTTGTGACACATTACCGATATTAGTCTGTGACACATTACCGAGTCTAATATGCACATTCCTCAAAGTATAACAGTGCATATTCGTCAAATTTAACATCATATCTTACTAAAAAGGATAATGACTACTCCGTAAATTTTTTGAACAGTCAAAATAGGAGAATTGGCTAAGGGAGTGTTTGTGATTGCTTCTACTTTTTTAAAGTTATTTTTTAAGAGATTATTGGAAAAGTGATTTAAAGTAAAAGTAGATAGTGTTTGGAAATATAAGTGATTTTTATTAAAAGGTAAAAGTTGGAGTGTTTGATAAAAAATGATTTTTCTTGGAGTAGATTGTAGAAGTACAAATGTACCCTTCCTAATTAAATGCCTAATTAAAAGGTTGCTTCTCTTTTCTCAACTTTCTTTCATCGCAACAAGCTTTCAACTAGCAAAGGAAGAATCAAGTTTAAAAACTTCTTCAATCTGTCATACACTTTGGAAAATGAAGAGGAAAGGAAGAATTACAGATGAAGTTGAGTTCCTCTTTTCGGAAGCCCAAGTGGTTCCATCTGAAATCGCCCACCTTGTGTTCGACAAATTCACGATGATAAGTTCGCGTACAAATTCCATCTGAAATTGGGTTTGAAGTTCTTTGCGAGGCTTAAGAAGACACCTGCGATGACGAAGCACGGTTGCTCAGGGTATTTTGGGGTTGGGGTGGATTTTGTTGCCTAATAATTATCCAAAAAGTTTGAGCTATTTACAATAATACTGGTATATCCCAGCTTCTAGCTTTTAACTTTAAAGTACTTTTTTTAATCAGAAGTTGTTCTTAGCAAACGCTTTTTCTATTTTTTTTTAATCTAAAAGCTTAGAAGCATTTATTTTAAGCAAATGCAAACATAGCTTAAGTTATAAGCGACTGATATATAGACTATATTTATGCTTGAAAAGATTCCGAGTAAATAAAAAAATGAACTTGAAAGATAATGATTCACAATAAAAAAGAATGAATTTCATTTTTGATCTTATAAGTGTGATGTATGTAAATCCCACATGTCACATGTGATTCTTGACCATAAAAATATGATGTATTTCATGTATATACTCTTGGAATGTATCCTTGAGAATTGTAAACATGCAAGACGAAGAAGAAAGGCAGGTGGGTGGGGTGGAAGAAGAAGCAAAAGGGAGTGAATGGAAAAAGGAAAGAAAAAAAAGGATAGACTACTAATTGGAAAAGATAGAGCTAGTATAAAAATAGGGAATTTTTTTATCCGGTCGGTGTTGGGGGCCCTCAGGGATGGAATGTCATCCTTTATAGGGAATTTTAATAATTACTCCGTATGATTTTGTTCAAATTAAAGTATGCACACAATTTACTTTAGTTATATTTTTATTCTTTTTTTTATCAAGTTATATTTTTATTCATTAATTTATTTTTTAAATATTTGAGGAAAAACTCTTTAAAAAAGTCAATTCGTTGAACGGAAAACCTGTTGCGTTATTTACAAGTAAATCGATCAGAGGAAAGGTTTTTCAAAGTTTGAGAGTCCAATTAGTGTGTTTTGAAGTATTAAGACATAATTCACTTTTGACATAATATGAGGATTTATTTGACAATTTTTTTCATCAAGGCAATCAGTTCAAGTTTTTTTGAAAAAAAAAAACCGTTTATATTAATATCATTAAGATTCATATCGTTACAACAAATTCAAAGAGACAAACACTAACAACAACTATATGTAACTAACTAGCATTAACGACCCTAAGGATAGATTTGAAAACGATCATTCCTGAAAGAGCAATACAAATTGTTAATCACCAAACGGGTGTGACACAACAATCAATTGTCATATAGATTGTTATAACGACATAGTATCTAGCAGAATTGACAATCCTTATTGTAGACCTAAAACTAAAGACATCAATAAAAACATAGCAACATAAACAAAATTAACACGAAAGTAAGACCATAAAATATACAATAATTGACAAATACTCCAAGCTCTCTCCTGCCAGTATTCTTGAAGAATCATCTTCAAACCCTGACAACTCGATCGCTCCATGGTGGCGGTTCAGGAGGGGGGGAGGGATCGCCGATCTGTCTTCTCCTTTGGTCAGAACTCGATCCAGAAATTGCCTCCCTCTAGCACCCCCCAATTACCTCCACCCTGAGGTGAAATCCATTCAAACATGACTCAATCCAGTCACACCATCCATTTGTCCTCTGTTCCCACCAGAGTCCCAATCGCCCCACCTCTGACGGACAACCCAAGCGCAACTGATCAGGCGGTTTTCCAATTGAACGTATCAACCACAAACCTCCAGATTCGATTCATAGCGGTATGTCCAGAAGCATCAACCATAAAGAAGCAAACCATGAAGAGGAAGAGCGTGGTAATGGATGTCCTCTCACTGTCGCTCCAAACCATTCGCCGGACAAGAAATGGCGCAAGCCGCCTTCTGAAAAAACAAACCCTAGACGAAAGCTTGGGAGAAGATCACTTGTGTAAAAGACCTCAAATTGGCAATCAGTTTAAGTTAAAAAACTATTTTAATTTAGAAATAAATATGTAGAGATATAATTCTAAAATCTAAACAAGGGAGGAGAGCGGACGACCCCTAGGTAATTAGGTTTAACGCAACACAATGGACAAAGAAGAGGACAACCACAGTTTAAGTTCTCTTACGCAGCTTCTTCCGGCAGCGAGTTGCGTTCAAGTCGTCCGTTCAGTTCTCGAAGTTTACTTTATTCCAAAAGCAGTATGTGATGGCATAAGGCTAAAACCTGGAAGAAATAGAATCTTTGGGTCAGGCATATGGACAGATGCAGATGGATGAGGAGGAAGAGAATGAGATCATGGCGGTGAAAGTTATGGACTCGGGCACATCAAGTACAAACTTATTTCTGGTAGGAACTATTACGTCGAAAAAATCGGTACGTTTCACTAACTTTTGCGATATTATGGCATCAGTGTGAAAATATGTCAAGGGTGTTACCATAATGGAGTTAGGATCTAAAAGATATATGTTCCAATTATATGACGAGAATGATATGAGTATGGTTGTGATGGACAGTGTACCCGGGGGGTAGCTTATTCGAGGGGTTATTGCGGGAATAACTTAGAGAGAAGTCAGAGCAAGTACGAGAGAGAGAGTCGATTGTATTAAATGAATTCAGCGTGCTTTACAAGGAGAATAAGGGCTGCTATTTATAGCAGCCATAAGTGCGATGAGAGTACACGTGTCAACAATCTGACGACCGAGGGGTCACCTCAATCGGATGGTACCGGCATATGCATGTGCACCGCAATAAATGCGGTGGGTGGATGTGATGCCGCATTAAATGCGGTGGTTGTCTATCCCCAAAGGGATTCTTTGATGATCGCGCCTGTGGCCGTAGACTCCCTTATGGCCGAAGGCTCTGTGTAGCCGAAGGCTACCCTCACGGCCGAAGGCTACCTTCATGGACGAAGGCTACCTTCATGGCTGAAGGCTACCTTCATGGCCGAAGGCTACCCTCATGGCCGAAGGCTACCCTCATGGCCGAAGGCTACCCTCATGGCCGAAGGCCTTGTGTAGCCGAAGGCTACTCTCATGTCGAGGGCTCTCCTATGGCCGAAGGGTCCCGATTTCTGCCGTTTTCTCGCCGTAGCTTTGTATGCTCAAATCCGGTTGTCATGTGAGATTTGGAGCCCTCGGCCAAGGAGGCCGAAGGCACCCATGTGTGCACCGTGGATTTCTTTATGCTTGGGCCGCTGTGTTCGGGCCTTGTGTGCTCATTGGGCCTGTGTAAGAGAAGTTGAAGTCTTTGGGTCGGGGGTCCCTGGGCCATATACTCCATCAGGAGTCTCCCACTCCTTTCGTCGAAAGGTACTTGAGGGAAAATGAGTAATTGCGTTGATGCGTTGTCTCCGCCGAGGGCTAATCTCTTTACCGGAGGGCTTTCCTGGTATTTGCCGAGGGCTTCCCCTCAGTCCCCCACATGTCCAGGGTTTTCTGAGGGAAGCATAGATGAATTGCCTGCATG